GAGGAGGAGGAAGAGGAGGAGGAGGAGGAGGAGGAGGAGGAGGAGGAGGAGGAGGAGATGGAGGAGGAGGAGGAGGATCGCACGCCACAGGGGGGGAAAGGGGGGAGAAAGAGGCCGACAGTCTGACCACTCATCTTCCCAGGGGGGCCCATCCGAGTGGAACTTTGCTGTCCACAGGCAGGAAGGCCGAAGACCTGGCCATGGCCCCCGACAAGGCCCCCTGGAGAATTTATCAGCTGTCTGAGTCAGCGCCGAGGCCCTGGTATTCAGGGCGCTCGCCCAACTCTCCAAAGGATCACGATTCGAGCTCATCCAGCCCAAACGCCCGGATACAGTCAGCAAGGCAAACAAAATCAGGCGGGCCACTCTCTGACCCGAGTCTCGCCTCTCGTTTCTGGGCCCCTGAGACATTTCCAAGACCACCCACCAGCTCTCGCGCCGCCTCACTGGGAGTCCCACAGGTGGCCAGTTTTAGAAGTCTGTTAGGGCGTTTGCCCTTAAGAACCGTTTTCGAAATCTTCTTGCCAGGGTCCACCAGGGCGCGCTGGGAGCCCTGACACATATTACGGAGCCCTCGGGAGCCTTGCGGAATTGTTGCATAGCCTCCGCTGGTGGATCAGAACAGCATCGGCGGTTGCCCTTCGGCCACCGCCTCAAGCTCGAACAACAGATGTCCCCTAGGAGCCAAGGGCGTCTGGTCCGTGTCAAGGGCCATCATGGCCAGCTCAGGACTTGGCTGCTCGCTCGGGCTGCCAGCCGATGGGGAGGATCAGGCGGAGGGGAAGCAGCAGGAGCAGCGGTCTCCGCCCTCCTCCTCGCGATTGGAATCATGGTGAGCCCGTGGGCTCCCAAGTTGGCAAGAATCTCTAGATCGGCGTAGTGGGTTTCAGCCCTGCTGATAAAGCGGAGCAGGGCCCGCGCCATGGGAGGCATGCCCCTCGCCGTGAGGCCGACAGAAGGGGTCCCTCCTCGCGAGCCTTGCTCCCTGTTTCGCCAACCGAGCGGCTTCTTTGTTGGCTTCATGCTCAAACAGCGTGATGCGCCCTTCCCGCACATCGTTCATGCTGGTGTGCGCCGCTACGTTCTTGAAAGCAATCCCTGGAGGCCTTCCTTCTGAGAAGGTGCGCCTCCAAACATGCTAGCGGATGTTCGGCGGCCTCTTGGCGAACTCAGGGCTCCAACAACACTGCAGCGCGCCTTTACAATCGGAGTATACCGTAAACGTGCCCACAAGATAGCGCAAAGCCATCTGGATCGCGAAGTCTTCGCCATCGCGTGCTACTTGGTATGGGCCGACCGCGGGGGGGGGGGGGGCAGCTCCAAACCACCCTGCCTGGTAATGGAGTTCTGTGTCAAAAACGGCAACTCCCCACCCCGCAACGCGAAAGGACCGGAACAGCCCATCCATTCCTGATCCATAACAAAAAACATTACCTTCGTCCAAAGCCAGCGGCGAAGCACTCCCTTCGACCTTGAACTCCCAACTGGGGTCCCAGGCTGGTCGCGAGAAGGCTTGGCAAGGATCTGGGAGGATCCCGCGTGCAAGCTTTTCTTGCAGGTCTGTCGAGCAAGTGGCGAACCTGCGCGCAGGCTCCACGAGCACCGCGGGCAAGGCGTCTCGCCTCCATCCCTGGCGCGCTGGGCACTGGGAATGACGGTGGAAGAGGGCCCCTGGCCCTTCCCCGGCACGTGAGGCAGTCTGACGGTGACTCGGCAGCAAGGAATCATGCTCGTGCAGACGGAACTGGGTCCAGCGAAAGTGGCCCTGCGAGCTACGAAAGCAGGCGAGACCGAACGGAGGTCCCATTGCTCTCCTGTCGGCTCCTGCAAGGTCCACGGGTCCAAAATTATTCACTGCGTGGAGCTCCCCATATGTGCATCTACTCGCATGGACCTGTCCGCCGTGAATGTCTAGGCGCAAGAGCTTTCGAATATTAACGGGCTTCAGTTGTGACGGTCTGGACATCAATCTAACTGCGAATGAATTGGAGTGTGAATGAGCCTCAGTAGTACGAGCGCGTCTCTGTGCATGAGCCTGGGGCCTCCTGGGGCCTCCTGAAACCTACTGGGGCTTCCGGGGGTCTCCAGGAGCCTCTTGGGACCTCCTGGGACCTCCTAGGAAGGTTTCGTGCCCCAGGAGAGGCGCAATCTATAGCAACAGACGTACATAAAACATTGCGGATTAGAGCCACAGGAGAAGGGCAATCTATAGGAACACGCGTAAAACACCAAGGACTCGTGCCCCAGGAGAGGCCCAATACATAGGAACATGAGTAAAACATTTAGGATTGTGTACACAGGAGAAGGACCATCTATAGAAACATACGTAGAACATCAAAGAATCGTGCTCCAGGTGAGGCCCAATCGATAGGAGCATACGTAAAACACATGGGATTGGAGCCACTCCTGTTGCCTTCTGAGGCCTCCTGCTCCTGGGGCCTCTCGGGGCCTCCTGTTGCCTTCCGAGGCCTCCTGGCGCTTCCTGTTGCCTCCTGGGGCCTCCTGTGGTTTCCTGAGGGCCTTCTGGAGCTTCCTGGGGCCTCCTGGATCCTCTTGGGACATCCTGTAGCCTCTTGAGTCTTTCTGTGGCCTCCTGATGCCTCCTGGGACCTCATGTGGTCTCCTGGAGCCTCCTGGAGCCTGTTGGAGCCTCCTGTGGCATCCTGAAAAGAATCTGCGCCCACGAGCCTGGCCACCAAAACTAGCAAACCGATCGAGACATCCTCAAAATCTGGCCCACCTGGGGGGTGAAAATGAGCGCCCCGCTCGAGACATCCTCCAAATCTGCTCCGAAAGCGAAGGATGTTGGGCACAGAAACAAGCAAACCGCCTGAGACATCCCCACAAAATGGCCGCGAACGAGCCCGTGCAACCACCCCTGGCGGCCCCCCTTAGGGGTGCTGAAATGAGCGCCTCGCTCGAGACATCCTCCAAATCTGATCCGAAAGCGAAGGATGTTGGGCACAGAAACAGGCAAACCGCCTGAGACATCCCCACAAAATGGCCGCGAACGAGCCCGTGCAACCACCCCTGGCGGCTCCCCTTAGGGTGCTGAAACCAGCGCCCCGCCTGATACATCCTCACAATCTGTCCTCCAAACGAAGGATGTTGGGCCCGGAAACAAGCAAACCGCCTGAGACATCCCCACAAAATGGCCGCGAACGAGCCCGTGCAACCACCCCTGGCGGCTCCCCTTAGGGGTGCTGAAATGAGCGCCTCGCTCGAGACATCCTCCACATCTGCTCCGAAAGCGAAGGATGTTGGGCACAGAAACAGGCAAACCGCCTGAGACATCCCCACAAAATGAAAGCGAACGAGCCCGTGCAACCACCCCTGGCGGCTCCCCTTAGGGGTGCTGAAATGGGCGCCTCGCTCGAGACATCCTCCAAATCTGCTCCGAAAGCGAAGGATGTTGGGCACAGAAACAGGCAAACCGCCTGAGACATCCCCACAAAATGGCCGCGAACTAGCCCGTGCAACCACCCCTGGCGGCTCCCCTTAGGGGTGCTGAGTATGAGTAAGTCTGTGTATGAGTAAGTCTGTGTATGTGTACGTCTGGGTATGACTAAAACTGTGTATGAGTAAGTCTGTGTATGAGTAAGTCTGTATATGAGTATGTCTGAGTGTCAGTAAATCTGAGTATGAGTAGGTCTGAGTATGAGTAAGTCTGAGTATGAGTAAGTCTGTGTATGAGCAAGTCTGAGTATGTCCGACAGGAGGGGAGGAGAAAAGAGGAGGAGGAAGGAGGAGGAGGAGGAGGAGTAGGAGGCGTCCAAGTAATAACAAGAACCCCATCTTAGGATATGGGGAAAAAGGAAAGGGACTGGCAAGCTCTCTACCTATAACTGCGGCGCCGCCGACTGCATGGAGCGACACATCATCGATCACGTTATTGATACACCCTGTGGGCGAGCCCATCGCAAAGGACGCCGTGGAGCAGTAGCCCGGCTAGCGTCGTGGCACCCGAGCAGCCTATGATCACCGTTACGTTGGGCTGGATGATGCGGCTAACGGCGCCTTGCCACGACACGCGTCGCGGCCCTTGGTACATACAGCAATAAGCTCTCAGCAGGGCCAGGAGGAAGAGGAGGAGAAGGAGGCGGAGGAAGAGGAGAACGGAGCCAGAGGGGCTGCCCGGGCCCCTCCTGCTTGTGGGTGCCGCCGTACGTGAGGAGCCGGACGCGCGCCTCCTCCCTGCCGCCGCTCTCCAGCGCGCAGTGGAA